CCTGGGATCGAGTCCCGCATCGGGCTCCCTGCTCCGCGGGAAGCCTGCTTCTCCGTCTCCCACTCCCCCTGCTTGCGTTCCTGCTCTCCCCGTCTCTCTCTGTCAAATAAATAAATAAAATCTTTAAAAAATAAATAAATAAATGTGTGCTTGAGCATTTACATGTGATTGGTGCTATACTAAGCACAGTACACCTAGTAGCTCACTGATCCCTGATGAACTAGGTGTTTGCACCAGTTACAAGCATGAGAAATCTGAGGTGCAGGGATTTAACGAACTTGCTCAAGGTCACACAGTAAAGAGTGGAGGAGCTGGGACAGACGCCTAACTGAGCTCTGCACTACTTTTAACTACCAAAGCTGCATACTGATTTTTTACCTTTCGTATGTACATTTCAAGTATCTCTACTATAATCTATAAATTTCCAGGGGACTAGACCTTACATTATATCGTCTGATTTGCTGCTATTCTGAACTCGGGGTCGTTGGAAGCAGCTGACACACTTCTGTCAAATGATTTCAAGGCCAGAGTCAGGGGAGAGTCAAGAGTTGGCCAGGTGCGTAGAACTCCATCCCCCACCCCAACTGGCAGGATGCAGGCAATGATTCAACAGTGTCTGTTAAGCTGGTACCCCCCCACCCCATGGCTCAAAATAGTAATTGTGATGTAATATTTGTTTAATGTCTAAAAAGAATACTCTGGTGATTTATGTACTTAAAAATTATGTAAATGCACCCTCAGGATGCTGGTGAAAGGTGCAATTTTGACATCAGAACAAGAGGATGCATCAAATATTTAATTAAAGGACCAGATGAAAAAAGCAGATGATGGAAATGTGGTTTAGCCACCCCACCCCCTCACCTCACCCCCAGGTCTGAGAAAGCAGCAAAGTCTAGTGTCATCTTTGAAAACAAAATGAGTACAGATGAATTTAAGAAAAAATGCAAATTTACTCTCTACATAATTTTTGGGCTGGTTTCTTTTAAAAAGTTGCTATTAAAAAACAAATGATTTATTTTTCAGGATTCAGGAATGTATTCATACTCCCTTTCTAATGTTACCTATGGAGGGAAAACTGAAGGCTGCTTGCTCCTCCCTTGCTAACAGAGGGTGTTTATTAGCTAGGATGGCAATGAAAAATTTAATACTAGTTTATAGCAGGGGACTGTCTTGGGCCTTTCATCTGGATATGTGGCTCTTATTCCTCCCATGGATAAGCTCTAGCCTTAGGAAGTCTAATCCTAATTTGTTCTGTATCACTATACCATATTTTAAAAAAAACCAACTATATTTCTATACAAGTGGGGTTAATTAGTTGTTTTAAAGATCACCCTCTTTCCTGCCTAGGTAAATGGTCTTAATAGAAACTAGGAATGTGCTACTTTAAAAATTTACACTGCAGCCCTGTTTCCTGGCAATGTCCTGTCAATTCAAGAAAGGAAAGAAAGGGAAGCTACTTCATGATGAGAAATCAAAACCTTTTTTCTCCCTTCTCTTTCTTTTTTCTTTTTGATTTATTCTGAGCAGTTGTCCCCAAGAAACTAACCCACCGACCGCTGTCAAGTTTGACTCCTGTTCCTGGAGTGACACCTTCCTGCTCCTCCAGGATGTCTCAGCTGGCTTTTCATCTTGGTCATCCACTTGCAAACTATCTTAGTCTTAGGACAGGGAAGACTACTATGTAGAGCTTTTTTTGCCCCCTTGGCTTTTTTTTTTTTAAACCTTTTTAGATGCTGGAAGGTGGGGCCAACCAACAGAGTCAGCAGGGCTGGCCTATCCCTTTTCTGACCCTCTGGGGCCATCTTCCTTCTGGCAATTCTCTTCCCCCATCTGTTTTCCTCTTGTTCTTGTTTAAAAAAAAAAAAATTAAAAACAACCAAAGAAAGGAAAAGAAACAAACCCTAGAAATACAACACCTCTGGAGCAAGGCCAGCATGGTAGAAAATTCTATAGGAGTGTGTAGATTCATGTGGGAGCATGTACATGTTTACATGCAGCTCTCAAATTATGGAAGAAACTCATATTGGCAGTAGATGGTAGCAAGAGAAGCTCCTCCCTAATCTTTAAAGAATCAGATGTTTCCTTCTCCTTCAATGGCAGAGAAGGAGCTTTGTTTTGTGTTTCTCCAGTTTTGCCGAGATACAATGATCATGTTTTGGTTTTATGTGATAGTTTTTGCACTCTTCACGCAGTTCAGTGAATGCTTCCTGAACTTAGATTCGCGCCAGGTGCTGAGGGGAGCACTTTTAAGAGCAGCTGAGGACCTGGGCCTTCGTGGTGCGGCTGCCAGGCTCTTCCTCCACCTGGAAACTCTTTCCATCCCAGGGAAATACTTGGGCTTCGGGATGGATTTGTCCCTTTAGGGAGGGGGTTTCTGCAGACTGAGTACTTTGACACATTTGTCCAGCTGGGTTGATTTGAGAGCTTTCCAGGTTGATCTTTCCCTGGTAAACTCCCTGAATCCTGATGCACAAATTCAGAGGAGGAGCTGGGGATGTTTATATAGTTGTTGGTTTTTTTTTTCCTTCTTGTTATCTTTTTAGTTATTTATGCTGGACACCAAGTTATTTTTTCTTTTTATTGAAGTACAATTTACACACAGTGAAATTTTGCACAGATCTTAAATGGCAGATTTACAAGTTTTGACAAATGTATACACCAATGATATACTTCTATATCTATAAACCGGAGGGTTTCCTCATCCCCCTTCCCAGTCCAAGCCCCTTACTCCCAAGGATACTTTTCATATATCTCCACAGCTTAGTTTTGGCTTGTTCTAGAATTTCCTGTAAATGGAGTCACACAGGATGAACTCTTTGGTGTTTGGATTTTTCCTATCATGATGTTTTCTGGGATTCATCCAAGTAGTTGCCTGTACAAGTAAAACCCAAGATGTCACTAACAGCTTGACAGTGTTAGATGGGGACCATTGTTCCACCAGTTGGCCTGGTATGTGGCCCTCTCTGCTCCAAGTCAGTCTCTTTCCAGGGCCAAGCAAGTCCCTCTCCCAGGACTGCCCAGGCAGCCTCAGACACCACCCAGATGGCCGCGGGGCCGTCAACCGGGTAGCCTCCCCGGAACAGCTGCCCTCTGCCCCCCACCCCTATTATAACTCAAAAGGAAACTGGCTCCTCCGCAGATCAGAATTCAGATTCGTTAAATTCCACTCATCCAATTGCACACGAATGTGTGTTTTGGTGTTGATATGCAGAGTCCTTAAGAAAACGTAAAAAGGGGGGAAAAAAGTGGGGGGAAACCCAGACATCAATGGCAGTGGATATCAGCCTCTGTTGAACCAGGATTCAAATGCAATCTTTTCTTTTTTAAATAAACGGAAGAGTCACTCTCCGCTCCTCGCTCGGAAGGTTTCAAAGGTCGTCACACCGCAGCCTGGGGGCGTTCATCTCCCTAGCGGCCTGGAGAAGGGAGGAGGTTGGAGGGAGGAGGGAGGGAGCACACAAAAGCGAGCCGTGCCGAGAGGGCTAATGTTTCCTGTTTGCCTGGAACCCCCTCCCCTGTGTCTCCTCCCCCAGCCCCCTCCCAGCACTCGGGCGGAAGTGAGTTTGCTCCTTTGGAGATTAAAAGGATTCCGAATTCCGATCAGTCCCAATAACGCGTACTGAGAAGAGAGAAGAAGGAGGAAGAGGCGGCAAAGCAGAGAAAGAGGGGGCACGCGCGCGCGTGCACGCACTCAGCGCGAATTGGGGGAGTTGTGCAAAGCCCCAGGAGGCCAGAGCGCACGGCGCGAGCAAAGGCCGGTAGGCGCAGCGCGGCCGGGGCCACCCGAGTCTTGCTCGGTGACTCGTTTCAGGAAGAAGATGACGCGGGCCAGCAGCGTTGGCCACGCGGCTCCCGAGCTCACCGAGCTGGGCCGTTGCCGGTTCCACTGATTCTAGCGCGCCTCGGAGGAGGCTCCGTCCCCGCAGCTCGGGATCGGAGGGGGGACCAAGGCGAGGGCGAAATGGCCCGATGACAAAGGAAATGTGATCCCCCTTCGCCGCCAAGGTTTCAGAGAGGACGGACGTGAGGAGGAGGAGGGGCGCGGCGCGCGCGCGGAGCTCGGATAGCATTGCACGACGGCTCGCGCGGAGCGGGCAGCGGGTACATCTAATATCTTCCTGCCGATGAATAATTCAGGACGGCCCGCGGGGACCTGCGGCCCCGCGCTGCAACACTGCTAAACCGGAGGGGAAGGAGCGCGCGCGGGAGGCGCCAAGGCCGGGCGAGGCGGGGGCACGAGGGCCCGGGACCGCGTGGGGCGCGCGTGCGTGTTAAGCGCCGGCAGCCGCGGCGGGTCTAGGCGGCGCGCGGGAGAATCGAGGCGCGTGGGACGCGCGTGCGTACTACACGCGTGCGGCCGCGGCCGGGCCCCCACTAGCTGCAGCTGCGGCGGGGCCGACCGCCCTGCAGGAGAGGCCGCGTCCGGCCGTGCGCAAAGCCCCGAGCGCTGCACTCCGGGCCACCCAGGAGCCCCTGGCCGCCGCGTCATGCGGCGGGGCAGCCGGCGTCGCGCGGGGGGACACGGGCTTGGCGTCGCGCCGCTCCCGCCTTTACTAGTTTGGGGACCTTTCCTCTCCCAAGAAGAGACTAACTAAATCTGTTGAAAGAAGAGCAACGCACCAAATACTCGCGGAACCAAATTCTGCTTCACCCGCCGGGACTGGGATTACACAGCAGACTCTACTTTGGGGGACTTACCTCGGCTAGGGAGAACTACGCTCCCGCTGCTCCAAGGAGTCCTCTGACCTCCCCGCCCCCGCTCGCCCCTCGCGTGTCGGGACTTGTTCCGGCGCTCCGGCTTCGAAAGGCACGCAGCCTCCGCGTCCTCCGGGGGAAATCTGTGTCGCCTCGGGATAGTGGCATTTGATGCCCGCAGCGTCGGGGCTGGCAGCGCGCGGGCCGGGCGGGTCTGGAGCCGACTCCTGGATCGCAGGCCCGATCGATGCATTTTTCTGAGTGAGTCGGCGGCTCCCTCCCACCCACCTCGGCCGTTTTCTCCTATCCTCCTCCTCTTCCTCTCTGGTCTCCTCCCTCCTCCGAGTCGGCTTGCAAATGGCTTCGTTCCCCGAGACCGACTTCCAGATCTGCCTGCTGTGCAAGGAGATGTGCGGCTCGCCGGCGCCGCTCTCCTCCAACTCGTCTGCGTCGTCGTCGTCCTCGCAGACGTCCACGTCGTCGGGGGGCGGCGGCGGGGGTCCGGGGGCCGCGGCGCGCCGCCTGCACGTCCTGCCCTGCCTGCACGCCTTCTGCCGCCCGTGCCTCGAGGCGCACCGGCTGCCGGCGGCTGGCGGCAGCGCGCCGGGAGAGTCCCTCAAGCTGCGCTGCCCAGTGTGCGACCAGAAAGTAGTGCTGGCCGAGGCGGCGGGCATGGATGCGCTTCCCTCGTCCGCCTTCCTGCTCAGCAACCTGCTCGACGCCGTGGTGGCCACGGCCGACGAGCCGCCGCCCAAGAACGGGCGTGCCGGAGCCCCGGCGGGGGCGGGCGGCCACAGCAACCACCGGCACCACGCGCACCACGCGCACCCGCGCGCGTCCGCCTCGGCCCCGCCGCCACTCCCGCCGGCGCCGCCGCCGCCCGCGCCTTCCCGCTCTGCGCCCGGCGGCCCGGCGGCCTCTCCGTCCGCGCTGCTGCTGCGCCGGCCTCACGGCTGCAGCTCCTGTGACGAGGGCAACGCGGCCTCGTCGCGCTGCCTGGACTGCCAGGAGCACCTGTGCGACAACTGCGTCCGCGCGCACCAGCGCGTGCGCCTCACTAAGGACCACTACATCGAGCGCGGCCCGCCAGGTCCCGCCGCCGCGGCCGCCGCGCAGCAGCTCGGGCTCGGGCCGCCCTTCCCCGGCGCGCCCTTCTCCATCCTGTCGGTGTTCCCCGAGCGCCTCGGCTTCTGCCAGCACCACGACGATGAGGTGAGTGCGCGGGTTGCCTCTTAGGGGGCTGCGCCGGGGCGGGACGGGGGCTTGTGTCCACCGAGGACAAGCGTGCTTGCTCGCCAAGAACCTCCGGACCGGTCCCAAAGCAGGGGCAGGGGCGGGGGGGGTGCTCTATGGATTGCTTGTTTTTCCTTTGACTACGTGGCGGTGGTTGCCACCAAGTAGGTCATTGCCTGGGAAGTGTGTGTGTAGAAGTCTGGCTTTGGTGTGCTTGCTGCGAGGGAGGGACCGCGGGAGAGTTCCAAGACGTGGAGCCCCCCCTTTTCCGTATCTAATTTTCTGTGTGGCAAATTGTGGCAACGTTGTCTTAAACCAGCGTGAACTGGGAGAAGTTAGGGTGTATGTGTGCGTAGAGCTGGTCTCCGTGTGCGAGGGTTCCCCGCCCCTACCCTGATGGTTCTCAAGGTTTGAGAACACCCCCTCTTTATGGATTTTGATGTCCTCATTTCTGCTTGACAAAGCGCGCAAGCTGTTAAGATGAGGAATGGAAGAGTGTCTGTGTCTGTATCTGTTTAGACGTGGTCTCCTTATTCTGGCACACCCCAGGCCTTCCAGAGTACTGGGTGCCCTCCTTTACCATATTTTCTCATTTTTGTTTGTCCAACTCGTAGATTGTGGGCTTTTAGGTAAGGTATGAGCCAGGATGGAGATGGCTGTGGGTGTGGAGTGCGTATGTCTGTGTCGCCCTGGTTTCCACGTGCGCGCTTGTGAGGCGGAATAGGGGGACCTTGCCCATTGACCTCCCCGAACTGGGAGCCCCTTGGGCCACTCCCGCCTGCCCCGACTTCGATCCCTGCAGGAACTGGTTTCCCTGGTTGGGGAGGTGTCTCCACCCCGCTCAGACCGGGGCTCGACTTCCGTGGAGAAAAGCCAGACCCATTTGCAGAGGCTTGAACCCGGCGGGCGCAGGGTCCGAGGGCTGCACTGCAGTCTTAGGCTTTGAGTTCGCTGTTTTGGCGAATAAACCTTTCTTTCTCATTCTTTACACCATGTGAGACCTTCCACTTACCTGAGCCCACTACAGTAAGGGACCAAAAATTTTGAGGAGCGGGCTCTGCTGGGGAGGGTCGTTAATTTAAACCATTTACCTGTAGACCTGTGAGATGTGTGTGTAGTCGCTATGGTCTTGCCTTGGAGGGAGAGCAGATGGCAGAGGTTTTAAAAATCCTAGCGGGAGTTACTGTCTGCCGAGTTGGAGCCAGCGTGCTGGTACCGAACAAGGCAGAGGCTTGCACATCGCAGCCTTTTCCCCTCCTAACCTGGTATTTGGGGAGGAGGGCGGAGCTATTGCCTGATGGCTTTAAGCCGGCGTCTCCTATTGGAAAAAAGTTGAAATTCTAATCTACTTGTTGTGGGCGCCGCATTTTAAGTTTCCTTCTAGGTATTAAGCTAGGGGGCATTCTTTTCCTTCGTTTGTAGGCATTGAGTAGACTCATCTTAAAAGTTTCCACATTCGTTGGGTGAATGTTTGTACTATGTTCTTTTCATCACTTTTAGAAAAATGAATGATTGAGCTAAATACGGATCTTGAAGCCCAGGAATGAAAAGATGGAGTCAAATCACTTGAAGATTAGGGTCAAATGGGGGGGAGGGGGAGGCAGTGAAGGGAGGGAAAGAGCGCCTTGAATCCGCCACAATTTCCCTCCTGGGAGGGGCCGTTGATTGAATTCTCCCTCCCAGCAGTTGAGTTTAAATGTCAGGTTTTATTTATATTCCCAGTTAAAGATCCACATTCGTTTTATTTGGGCTAAAACAGAAGATACTCAGTGTTGCCAGACTTGTAAAAGGCTTATACTTGTAAAACATTTATACACTTTTAAAATTATAAAACTGTTCAAATGGTGTGGGAGAGTGTAAAGTGAGAAGTGAAGCGCCCCTTGCCCTGGAGGTTCCTGGATGCCCTGAAAATTCACTTTGTAAGTTGTGCAATACTAGGTTGAATTTTGGCAAAGACATTGAGAGAGTACATTGTTAAACTAAATATTCTTTAGAATTTTTTTAACATTTTATTTATTTACATAGACAGCAAGAGAGGGAACACAAGCAGAGGAGGCGGGAGAGGGAGAAGCAGGCTTCCCGCAGGGCAGGGAGCCCAGTGCGGGGCCTGATCCCAGGACTCTGGGATCATGACCTGAGCCCAAGGCAGACCTTTAACGACTGAGCCACCCAGGCGCCCCTGAAATTTTCTGTTTTGAGCAGAATTCTGCTTCCCCTCACTCACTTAAAGAAGGAAACTTGGAAATTAATTTTTATACCTTTAATCATCTACATTTAGAATGCTAGAAATTTTGAGTTTAAAGGTGACAAACCAATGCTGGGAATAAAGGACCCAAGTGTTAGAGAAAGCACCAGGTTCAAATAGGGGTCCCACTCAAATTCTTTCTTCCCTTATAAGAAAATGATCGGTAATTGTTTGGGAATACTGTTCTTTTAAAAAACCATTCCTCTGACTGGGAAAGGGGCATGAAAGCACTTTGGAAGGTGACTGTCTTCTATTTGATGTGATGGATGGAATCTCTAAACCCATGTATTTTTCTGTATTTGTAATCTACCTCGATTTTCATAATGTTCTTTACTGAGTTGCCTTCTGTGTGAACAGGCTCCATTAAATAATTAAGGGTTCCCCTGCCTTACAGTGATGCCACCTGACCTTGGGAAGGAGGCTGGGACCCTGGGTTTCCCCCCCTTTTGATTTTAGGGAGGGTGCCTCCAACAGTTGGACACCCCGGGATGCTGAGGCAGCCGGTGGGGTCTCTTTCCCCACTGCTTTCCTTAAGAATCCCCCTGGAAATGGCTCATCAGGATTGACAAGGTGGTGTTTTGAGAACTTGGTTTTAAAAATGCAGCTGCAAAACCTCAAGGGAATTGGGTTTTCCTACAAAATGATAAAGGAATTGTGGCTCATTTAAAAAACCTAGGTTGGATTTTTCGCTAGTTTTGTGCCTCAGTGGTCAGTTCAAAGGCCTGCTGGCGCCAGGCCGGAGGGGCAGGCAGGCCGGGAAGTGCGGGCCCGCGGGTCCGGGGCCGCTGGCCGCGCGGCGGTCAACACAGGCGGGGGCCCGGGAGGCGGAGGAGGCGGCGCCGCTGTGGGCCTCCGCCGCGACAGGGCCAGCCTCGGGTCGCCTCCGTTGTGGGGACGCGGGCGGACGGGGGCCGTTCTTCTCCCCGCGGGCACCCGAGAAAGCGTCCTCGAGAAAAGGGGGTGCACGCATTTTGGGCGAAGAGTTAAGGAGTTAAGTGCGTCTTGAGCGTGCTGCTCTGGCTGCTTGAGGAGTGCCCTTATTTATTGTATTATTGATGTATAGGATGTGAGCCCTTTGCTGCCTTGGCGGCGACCCTGGAAACACAAATCTCGGCGTGGGGGCGGCCAGGGTGTGTGTGTTGCCTGTCGAAGGGCTGGGCATCAGCATTCTGTAAATGGCAGGAAGTAAAGTGGGGTCTGAGCGTGTTCTGTCTCCAGGAAAGTCCCTGTCACTAGCGATGTGGGGCGGTGGGGGTGACACAGTTGCCATCTTGAGCCGAGGGAAACATTGTAGTTCAGCCCACTGACGATGGCGATATTGTTCCCAGTTAGGGCCGGCAGGAGCAGATTTTCCTGACTCTCCAGGATGGAAAATGGGGTACAGGTGCTGATACAATATACTTTTAGTCCCCGCTTTGGGCTTAAAAAAAAAGAAAAGGAAAGGGGAGAAAAAGCACCTTCCTAGAAATGTAAGTTCTAGAATTACAACCCAATATCCTGAATATTGACCCATTCGTCCTAGGCTTGGGGACTGTCTTTCCCCAGGAAACCACTCAAAACTACTTTGAGGAAGGCTGTTTGCTGCCTTACAATAATGCTTGTGGAATGAATTCTTGTATCTTATTTTGAATAAGTCATGGTGAATGGGGACATCACCAGTACTGGTAACCAATATATTCTACATTCCTAGAGTCTGTTTTTTCAGGCATGCATCCCCAGTGTAAGCATGTTTTAAAACTATATGTATGTGCTATGTAAATTACAAAATGTATACCAAAAGACATTTTGTAAGGACAAGAGGAAAAAAATGAATAGAAATGTGCGTTCCAGTATTTCTGCACCCCATCTTTCGACCTGCTCTTACATGATTTGGTGGATATATGTCTGCTTAACACATACATCTCTGTTTGCCAGAAAACCAAACTTTCCATACATACCTTGGAAATAATTGGAGCTTGATGCTTTGAATCCATTTCAGCAGGTAGATGCCTAAATGTTGAAGTCTCCTGAATTAAAAAATGCTTGGTGAAGGGCGCCTGGGTGGCTCAGTTGGTTAAGCGACTGCCTTCGGCTCAGGTCATGATCCTGGAGTCCTGGGATCGAGTCCCACATCAGGCTCCCGGCTCCATGGGGGAGCCTGCTTCTTCCTCTGACCCCCTCCCCTCTCATGCTGTTTCTCTTTCTCTAATAAATGAATAAAACCTTTAAAAAAAAAATGCTTGGTGAAGATCTATGGGAGAAAAATGTTCATTATTGATACCTTAATTCCTTAGCCTTGAATATAATCTGTGGGCTTTTTAAGTTTGAGCTGAGGAATGTGCCCAGCCTTCCATTAAAGTGCGTAGGGATGGGTTTTATCAACATGGATCCCGGGAAGTGGGTCATAGCTAGTTTGGCAAGCCTGTGCTCATGAGGTTACCTCACAGGCATAAGCTCATCTAAAGGGTGCTAGTAATATTTGAGGTGGTGTGCTATCAACAGTCTGGGGAACCTTTTGTGACTGCTTTTGCTTCCTAAAAAGTAAACTACACTGGTTTTAGGGTTGCATAGACTTGCTTTTGTTTTGGTCTGTAAAATTTTTATTTCCAGTGCTCAGAAATACATTTTTTTGGAAACAGTGAAGATATTTTAGGAAGAAAACAGGCACTTCCTCCCAGACTGCAGTTCTTCAATTGATACTACTATACATTCTTTATGATTCAGATGTTTTCAAGTTAAATACTAGGACATGGAA